AGGCCTCATACTACCAAAATCAGCGGAATTACCCGAAAAACAAGTAAGATACGCCCTTGGGGCCTTTCGTAAATTAAATGCTGTTTCATGAAAAAACGTTATAGAGAACTCGGAAACGTTTTATTTTGTTTCTATAATGTTTGCTCTATACAACGGGGTTATTTGCAAAGAATTTCTAGATCGAACTCCGGGACTTGATTTACTGAGATTTTGGTGTCTAGAGATCGTGATTTCAGAAGTTTCGATGAAACCTTCCTATACATCATATCGGGTTGAAAATTCATTCAGATATTCAAATCCTTTTTCAAATTTATTCTAATTATGATGCTCGACCAGGAAAATGAAAAATAAAGATGGCTGAATAATTTTGAACGCCACTGTGCCTTCAGACGCGTCATTTTTGAGACAAATTTTGAATGCAGCCCTACTATAATGGAGATATATGACCTTCATAAGAAGTTGCTTAACTGATCAGAAACTTTTACGACAAAAATCCGTTGGGTTTCGTATTCATACAATATTTTCTCTGTTATTTTAGCTACAATGTCGAGCAGACAAAGTAAACTAGAAGATTTTTCCCCAGAACTATTCTACGAAGTATTTGACCGTCTAGATGGTTCGGACATTTACACATCGTTCATCGAAATAAACTCTCGGATCGATCTAATTATTTCATCATACACCCAGTGGAAATTTGATTTCAGAGAAATTTCAAAGTCGAAATTTGACCTCTCCGTGGCAAATATCCGTACAGCTAATGTTCTGTCGTTAACATTATCAAATGAAGATATACCCAGTCAAATGCACTTGTTTCTGTCGTGGTTCTACCTACAACAGTTTGTTTATCTACAATCTCTTACAATACTGAATGTGAACGAAGATATAATGACACAAATTCTCCCACAATTATCGTCGTTAAAACATCTTTTACGTTTATTTATTAGCTCGAGACGATTCGATATTAGTCTTGTATTGTATATTTACGAGATTGTCTTATCGCAAATTCCATATGTTTTAGTCACTTATCACGTAGTCAACATATTGTATTTGTTCTACCCAAAACTTCAGATGATTAAAATCAAAAAAGAGAAAATCAAAGAACTTTTCATCATTTTGATAGGCTATTGTGTGATACTTATTTGTACAAGTCCCTTTGATCGGAGCTTTAACCATAGACGGTGCTTGTTCTACAATTATAAATAATTGAATCATAAGGCGCAAATATATGTCTACGAGACCGAAGTTCAATGAGGGAAAGTTAAAAATCACTTTGAAGAGAGAGTTAAATAGTACGACCTTAATGCATACAGAAGAAAATGAATGGTGGACGCATTAATCAGATTGCCTTAAATTCAGCTTTATATAAAAACTGATGCATGTTGATTATATAAAACTCAACGATCAATCAAAAATTTTCATAGAATTGTTCTATTTGAGTACGAGAACGTTTTTAGGATATTTTGAGACTAATCGATTGTTGATTACGTAAAATGTGAATTTGCTATCCGTAAAAAAATGCAATCTGAATCTTCCTGGCTATGAAGGTGTTCTTCAGCATTTGAGAACTGATCAATACCCTTCCAATATTGAATACTTAACACTGGATTATTTCTGTTTCAAAGATTTAGTGACACTACTAAACCGATTACCGTCGCTTCACTATCTGACTGTTCATGCTTTAGATGTAGAAAAGAATGAAATGCTCTCAGCTGCCTGTCAATATTTAACTGTGAAACATTTACAGCTTAAAAGTACAATTATATCGTTTACACAAATAACAGAACTGTTAAAACTGTTTCCTGAACTCTTGTGTCTATCATTAAAATGTCGTGGTGTTTCCGACGGTCTACAATGGGAACGTTTCATCAAAACCTATTTGCTGAAACTTGTGAAATTTCAGCTCATTTGTGAAATAAGTGCAGATGAAGGTCTTATTGAAAATCCGTTATCATCGTTTCAAACACAGTTTTATAGTGCAAGAAGCTGGGAATTCAATTTTATAGAAAATACATCATCCGGGATATTATTTTCAGTACCTTACCTTGCCGATGCCATTTATTTGTCTCAGTTTACAACGACTGATTTAACAAGTCAAAATGTGTACTCGAGAATAAAGCATCTGAAGATTGAAGCAGATTATCTGCCACATTTAGTTAATCATCAAACTTTTTCCGATTCCTCGTTACTGTCTCTCAGCCTGGATTTCTTCTCTGATGTCGGCTACGTTGCTTCTTCTACATTCATAGAAGATCTTCGACAAATCATTCCCAACCCTTGGAAGGTCAACTGTGTCGAGTTAACCGGGCATGGATGGACATTATCCATAGTAACAACTATACTTCAATATTTCACTGACATATACAAACTAAACATAGACAATGAATCAAATGCACTGCTATGGTTAACACCGTCGGCATCGATTAAAAATCTACATTTAAAATATTTATTGCCTCCGAGTTTCAAAACTGATCAGTTTTGTTCACACTTTCCAAACATTAGCCATTTAATAATTTCGATTTCGACTTTAAATGAGTTTCATTCTATTGTGCCACTGTTATTAGAACGTTTATCCAATTTATCTTATTTGCACGTTAAGCTTTACTGGTGTTATGGTAAAGAAGATTACCGAGAGATCGAAGAATGGGTTTTGAAAATGAAACAACAAGATCGAAACTGGTTGCTTGACTTTGATGGATACGAACAGTTGTCGATCTGGCTAGGTTAAGTCTCTTTGATCTAGCCATTGTCATTAACTCACATGAGACTTCCACAGAAATTTTAACAAGAAGGAGGCTCTTGCTCCATATACTTGTGTCTCAACTGTCTCGTCCAAACCTGTCACGTCATCGTAAATATTTTTGGCTGGTACAGTTTTCAAGATTTATTATCGTCTTCGTGCTCTTTTTTTATAATGTACTTTGTCCTTATTATTCTTCCTTACGTTGTTATCATTCCAAATAGGTTCGTATTCCACCTGTTTTCTTGTTTTTTATTCTTTCCTAACTTTTTGTTTTGTACACTAGTTTACTTTTTATTTTTCTATTTATAGATTCTGTTTGTTGTTGTTTGGCTCGAGTCATTGTGATTATAGGTGCGGGACCTTTGATGACTCTCACTTTTCGTGAATAAATCATTCATTCATTCATTCGTTTTTTCTTTAGTAAGGATTAGGCATACAACAATCCCAAGCCACATCATTTAGTTTTTTAGAATCCAAGAGTTATTTTATGCGCAAATTAATGTTTTTTTGAAGAGATACATGACGAAAATGTAATTGGTTTTTTCAAAAAATAATTGATTGTTTTAGACAAAATTAGTCTACCCAAACACAGCTAAATCTCGAATCTGCAAAAACAATCTGCATTTTATCTTTACCCTATTTATTCTCTTATTTCTCCAACTTCACTTCGTTTCGATTAGTCTTCTTTGGATAGATCCCAAAACCAATCAGGCGAAGTCTACTTGATACTGTATCTTGGTACTAGACTGACTGCTTGCTATAAAAAGAGAAAGACTTTCAACATTTTCAGAGTTGAAGCATTTTATATAACATATTACACGTGGAGCATGATAAGCTATGTGCGGATATTCCAAGTTTTTAAAACTGTATTTCATTTTCAACAAAGTTTTAATCATCCGTTTCCAACAAGCAAGCACTCTACAATGAATTGCATGATCCTTTTTAGAGTTACACCTTGACTTTCAGCATGGTGCGGGATATTCGAAGTCTGTGATAAATCCTCTGTAAGATTGAATGCGACTGAACACAGCCGGTGAGAGAAAAGCACAATTTAGACGGTGACTTATTGTCTTTGACGTGTTCGAACGAATCAGTTAAGAGAATTTTAGGAATGAACGTGCTCGTCATTATTTATCGGAATGAAACTGGTTGAACAAAACGTTTTTCCGGCTTAGAAAGTTAGTTCATCATGTTGAGTATTCTTCGTTTAGTTTTCTCCTTAACTTTCTATAGAAATAAACAACGTGAACACAAGTGTGCAGGCGCTCCCTTGACTGTAAAGTCTTTACTGTCGTTACTGTAGCTAAGAGTTAAGCTAAAACACAGAATAAGTGTATTCCTTTCTACTCTGCACTAAAAAACTTCTCTTTAGAGTAACTTGTAAGACAGTTCGGCGACAGCTTCGTGTTTAAGGCCGTTATTTGACAGTAGTATATCTGCTCTAATGTTACTCACCAGGGAATCTCCTGAGGTGCTAGGCCCCCATAGGCTATGAAGAACCCCAACTTGGTTCGGACGCAATCAGCTTTGTTGCTGAGATACCGAGTTTTTATTTGAATTTTCGGAACCTGGATTTCAAGCGAAAACAGAGTTTTGAATTTCATGTTGTAATGTATCACATATTGTAGCACATGTCAGTTCTACTCTGATGAAGAAAGGCCGACGTGAAAATCTCTGTCCGCAGCGGTGAAAAAACTTCTTCCGTATGGGTAGAAAAGGTAAAACATGGAGTTTTAACTTTTTGGTAAAACGACTGGAAAGGAAGGATTGAAAAGAAAAAAACTACACAGAAAATCAGATGAGCGCTATTAATTCTCCCCCAATCGATATAAAACGTGATTACAGCGACTAGCCAATTCGTGTGTTTCTGCTGGTCCGTTTTTGAGTTTTCCAAAGTCTACTCTATAATGTTAATGATCGGCTATCAAACACATGTGAAACACCGGAACCGAAACAGGACAGCCGAAAAAAAGGCAATTCTTCCTCAGTTACACTTCTGATGTTTATTACAGACAAACTAGAATTCACAAATTCCGGACAAAAACACTCACTCTTAGTTCAGAACGGAATTCATTTCATTTCAATTAAACCTTTTCCATTATTTGGATGATGATCATGTAAATTTTCTAGATCACCACTATCACCAACTCGATTGCCATTTTTTTCTGTTCTCGTTGGACGACATCGAGTAATAAGAAACGATGCTAAAGGGAGAAGCAACAATTTAAATAGAAGAAATAGTAAACCAAATAGTTCCAAAACAACAATTGTAAAAAGTAAATTATGAAATATAATTTCAGTCTGTTTTGCAATTGGTTGCTGTTCATTCAATATATAGTAACCTGTTTCACTGAGTACCAAAGTAACATTTGTCTCCGTCAGTGTTGAATCGAGATAATCGCTTTCCGAGACAAATGAATCATAATAATTGAGTGTCAATGAAGCAACCCAAAGGCCACTCAATGTTTCTTCACCAATTTCCAATGGAACTGTTTCGTTAATTACTTTTGTTAATTGAACTGCAACATGGACATCTTGTCCTAACATCTTTTCCGTTTGATTAAATGTCTCAGAGAAATTTAAGTCGTTCAATGTTAAATAACTTTCTGTTTCTCCTGAACCACTTATGCCGATACGTAAGCCACCAATAGTGTTAATGCCAGGCAAATTAAATCGAACTGTAATGGATTTGTACGGTAGTAGAGCACTCAGTGAAAGTATGTATGAAGAATAATTGCAGGAAGTAAAGGAGAGAGTCGTCCAACTATTGCCCAGTAAATAGAATAGTGTAACTGAATCTGAACAAGTGAAAACTGTGTTAATAAAGGCTACATTTAAATAAAATTCTTGTTCATTCAATAACGCAGCCATTTCCTGTAGTTCACTTGATAACGGAATAGTCAGTGATTGTAATTTTGTTTCAAATTTTGCATTAAGGATCGTGGTGTCACATGCAAATGTTGATGCTTGAGCTGTTTCAAGTGGATATTGCTTGTAGTATTTACTACTGAATATGTAGGCAAAGATAACGAGTACGAGAATGCAGAAGGAGAGAAGACCGCCAATCCACAGTTCACCTTCCCCAATCAAATCTGTTTGTTTAAAGATTGTTGTTAACATTTCATATCGTTCGGGTGCTCTGGGATGTCTGATATAGTGTTTTAACAGTACCATAACTAGCATCACAATGAAAGCAATAATCGCAACGATTATAGCCCAGAATATTGGTGAGACAGTAATGCAGTGAGATGAAGAGCCAATTGAAAACATGTTTAGTATGAGAATATCATCAAAGATTGTATTTTCAGGTGATTTTGGATAAGCCGCTGCTTGGATGAAGCCAGTAAGAAGGTCTGAGGAAATGTCGTAGGTTGCACCCAGAGGACAAAATGTGTTGTTGGCACAGGTTGTGCAAGCTGTACTTGAATTTCCATCGTTCTTTGTTAGAGATGGACAGAGTGAGCAAGGACGAATGTTTGTAGCATTTTTGTAAGTGCCGGCAATACACGGCATTTGTGTTGAAAATGCGGGGACAGTTTGGTCAAGGGACCCTGTTGTTGATGAATAGTAACCACTCGGACTGGAGAGGATAACGAATATATCACCGTTGACATCGAGAATTAGCAAGTGGGTGGGTGTCGAAATGATATTGAGAAAGATGGGTGACATATTGTCAGAAAGTGATTGTTGAACGTTAGGAAAGATAGAGACAGGTGTTGATGCGTTTGTAAATGTTTCGTAGATATTGATCTGGGAAGAAACCCAAGAGTAACTGGTTGTATAAACGTTGACTAGAATAGCAAAGGAACTGTCATTGTAATTGAGCCATGTAACACCTTTACCAAACCCAATTGATTGGCCATTGTCTTTTGAAGTGAGGAGTGTCAAGTTTGTACTTGTGTAGGAAAACAGACAGACCATGTTCATCGATTGAATTCCGAGTAGAACTTGTGCTGTATACGGGTTTAGACTGATGGACATGTCGTATTTAGCAGTATACAGATCAGCGCCAGAGAACGATTGTCCACTTTGCCAGGTTCCATTTGTTGAATAAGTCCACGAACTCAGTGTGGTAGCAACGGCTGTTGTTGCATTTACAATGAATAGATAAACCGTGGGACTGTATTTGATACGCGAATTTCGTCCGTTATTGATAAATCCAGCAATTACACCGTATGTACCATCGAAGTCAACAGCATAGGGTAGATAGGACGTCGAAGGAGATATTGAATTGTTGGCATGAACGATCAAACGGTTAGTGAGTGCTGTGTAGGTGAAGGTAAAGAGATCGGAGAAACCGTAGGCAATTGAACCAGTGAGATCGGTTGTTACAACTAAATGTTCTTGATGTATGTATGACCCTGTCACATACTGTATGCTATATGTAAAGCCTTGGTTACAGTTAATTGATGAGCTTCCTCCTCCAGGACCACCCCCACCTCCCATTGAAGAGACACCTGTGTAATTGAGAATGCCAACAAATGTACGATTCATTAACGAAGTTTCTGTAACACCCAGCATTTCGCCAACAAAGAAAAAGTAACGTTGACTACTAGTTGAAGTTTGATTTTTACCAAGGGTAACAGCGTAGATATAATGTGAACTATCACTATATTCAACTGAACAAGACGATTGACTCATTTGTTCAATATTATCGGTGTAAGGTGCAAATTGTATAAGAAATTGAGTGTATTTATTTTGTGCTTCGACTATCAGTAAATCATTTGCGGCTACCTTCAGACCATAGGCATCGTAATCACTTGTATCTGGTGAAAATGTTAGACTAAACAAAGGTTTCGTAGTGATCGTCGAGAGCAGTAGTAATCCAAAGAAAAACAACTTTGATTGGACTTTCATTTTTTGAAATTTTCATGTGAAAAAGCGATAGAAAAGAAACGATTTAGTTGAGTACAAAAAACTTTCGTAAGTCGATCGAAAATCTTTGCATTACGCTAATAAAGTTTAACGATGTACATTTAGGCGGGTAAAAATAACTGTAGTTTAAGTTACGTCAAAATATTTACTTTGTTGACATGCGTGGAGCTGCGTGTAATAATATATCGTTGATAAAAAAAAATGTAGTTATCGTCAAGTTACAATTTTTATTTCTTGTGACAAGTATTCGTACTACGTCATTTTTCAAGAAACCAAAGTTTTTAATTTTCTGACTTTCGGCTACTTATATCATTATTGTTCTTTTATGTTAAACTCAAACGCATCGAAACAGAACTCGAGAAAAAGAAAAGAAAGGAAATAAAGAATAAGAATAACAGTTGTCTATCGGAAATAAAATTGAACAAAAATATCTGATGAAAATTGTTTTCTCCCTGGGGAGAGGAAGACGATGAATAAAAAATTAAAGCCAAACATAAAACAAAATTCCTTGAAGCTCCAGCTCTTATTTTTTTCTTTCAAATTAATTATGAAAAACTCTGACATCGTCGTAGTCATCCAGTTTTAGAGAATCTGTTTTGTATCTGTCAGAGTCATTCTCTGTTTTCTCATTAGTATTTTTGTTACGAACAGGACAAGTAAATCTGAGTGTTTTTTTGTGCTAATTCATTTTAATTAAACTGTCACGAACATACTAATGCTCTATTTTTATCACGAACAGCGTCACAAGCAGAAGAATTGTTTCTGACAAACTTAATTATTATTCGGATGCTAAGTATATACTTAATCATTCTTATATATGTATAGATAGTGTCACTGGCAGACCGCATATGAAATTGTAAAATATTTTTAATGTATAGAGAACCCCAGTTGGCTTTCGCGATGAAGTAGAAGAATTTGTTTAATTTCTTTACTTAGAAACAGTGATAATAAACACCAAAATAAATCAAGCATCACATATAAAACTACGATTTTGAAAATAAGTTTCTTTCTCATATGAGATAAAACACAGTCTAGCTATTCTCTCATCAATCGCTAGTAAGACTTATCACTTAAGATTCGAATAATTTATTCTTCCTCTTTGAACCTTTCTTCTCTAGAGTCATTGCTAAACGTGTTTTAATTATTGTGTAGTACTATCAGTTTCAAAAAAGAATGCAGTCCGATGTTTTTTAAATAACTCTTTAACAAAACGAACTATCGAGCTCCGATTTTCAGTTTCTGACAGTAGACACTTGGGACACAAACCTATGTCAAAAAAAAGATTTTTGTAAAATGTTTTCTATGGAAAACTTTGCAAAGCAAAGTCGAAAAACATATCGATTTTCGGGAAAATTTTTTTTTCCTTTTTTCGTTAGTCTAAACCTCTGTGCAGCCCTCTTTCAAAATATGAAAGAATCAAGTTCCATCACTTTTGGTTACCGAGATACAGAGAGGACATATCTATCGAGAAATCTCGAGAGAAGTGGCAACCTCAAGAACATTTGAGCCATAGATTATTGATCACGCTGATTATAGTAGTGGTGTGTGTTTTTCTCAACAGATTGGAAAAATGCAAGAATTTATCAGATCTTACAAGATTATGCCTGTAGTGCTCTGTCCTATAGAATCGCCCTACATCCTCTTTAAAAAAAATCACAGTTACAGATTACAGTCATGCATTTTATTTGTGCTTACGAGGGAACCTTTTCAGGTCCAGCCGCTTTTCTAACGAAATGCGGTTGTTTATAGGTAATCGAGCATGCTGATTCCGAATATGATGGTTGTTTTTGTCCATAGGCCTTTCCTAACCGGTTTCTGGAAAACTTTTCCAGACTTTTCCAGAGACCTCGAAAAACCCCTAAGAGTTTTTCTAAATAAGCCACACCTGTAGCCCGCGAAATTCTGATTAATGCATGTCGCCGGTTTTGGCCGAGGTTCGACGAGTTTCACTAACTCCACATGTGCTTCTTCACAATTGGCGAAGGTTCTGTGGACTCACGCCAGTATTTGCGAAGTTCCTATGGAAGTTCACCAGTATTGGCAAGGATCCACTGAACCTTCGTCAGTGCTACCCCTTCCTTTTCGCCAGTTGGCAAAAACTTGACTTTCGCGAATACACCACCCGGACATTCGCCAATAATTGGTGAAAGTCTTATTGGCAAAGAGCTGGAACCCAAATTAATGTAGATACGTTTACAATAATTTATTTTTCAGCAATTTCAACGCTCAAAATTGATTTGAATTAATTTAAGAGATAAGAGTATTTCGGATTCATTTGAAATAAATTAATTTAAACTAATTTCCACTATCAAATTTATTTAAATTCAATAAAAGCTTTCCTTTATCAGCCAAATGTGTATATTTGATCGAGAAAGAAGTGATCGGAGGTATTTTTTTGCATCACGAGTTTTTTCTCCAGACCTGCAAGAATAAGGTAAAACATACGCAGCTTTTATTTTCCATTACCACTTAAAAAAAAATATCGAGTGCTTTCGATTAGTGTTGGAAACAGAGATCTGCACGGGTACAGGAATTCCTGTAGCCGCGGACGTGTCCGTACTGCACGGGCATGGGCGGGAACGGGCGCGCTCGAAAAAGACACGGACGAGCATGGACAGGCAACTGCTTCTCTTCGACGGGCACGGGCTTCTCAAAAAGATATTTTTAATTTTTTAAGCAACAAAAGCGTACGAAGATTTGAATATTTTGTGAATGAAATATAGACAGTTAGAGACATGCTACAGAAAGAACATCATAATAAACACGCGTAGACGAGAAAATGTTTTTCATATACGGACTGTTCAAATACGAAAAAAATTCACGGACGGGCACGGATAAGCATCCTCGGTAGGGTTACGGGCAAAAAAATCTTGCCCGCGCAGATCTCTACACTCTAAACTTACCAATTCGTTTAAATTAATTTAGTAGGACATTAACTACGATAGGTCTGAAAAGATTAAGTCACATTAATTTTAAACTGAAAATTGTTTTGAATTGATTTCTGTCAGATCAGTGCAAATCGATTTATTACCAAATTGAGTTAAAGGGATTTGAAAAAGCATTAATTCAAATTACTGTAAAGTTTTCGAATTTAGATAAATTAATTCGAAATTCGTGTCATTTAATTTAATATGAGACTTTGTGTACTGCAGTCACGAGGGAAATTAATTTTTTCACGAAAAAATCAATTAAAACTAATTTTAGTTTTTTCTTTTTTTAAATTAATTTGACTTAATTTGAATTAAACTTTATAATTTGTCTTTATATTTATTTATTCATAGATTTAAATTGATGCGCATTAATTTTCAACGCAAAAAGGTTTTTTAAAATTAATATGAACGACTTTCCTTTTAAATTTGTTCAAATTCCTTTAAATCTTGAAATTAGTTTGTATTAATTCAAAAGTATTTGAAAGTTCCAATGGGTATACCAACCACTCAGTTTCATTGCAATTGTAATAATAGTATAATTAAATGCTTTCTTGCAGGATTTCTTATATTACTCTGTTTACTTTTTAGGTGTAAGACTGTTTGAATCATGAAAAAGTTCGTTTGTTTCAATGTATCTAGTCGTTGACGAATTAACACTGAAAGAACGTTTTCAACCTCTCATGAAAAACGGTTAACGGTCGACCAGTATGATTAAAGTAGAAGTTAACAGTAAAGAAAATTAAAAATCATCAAATTTTAAAGCACACTTTTCTGCATAAGACACTGTCTTTTGTTCTATTTGTTCATGCTTATTAAACGCAAAAACATGAATCAATCAAAATCGTGGATCACTACTAATATTGCTTGATTGATCATACTACAAGAAAAACGTATATAACAAAAGAACGAAAGTAATGATCATCACGTATCTTATATAATTGTGAAGCGCAGAATCTGGGCTTGCTTTCGTCTATTTAAAAGCTTCTCAGATCGTTTTTGCTATGAGAAAAATCTTTTGAAAAACTAGAATAAATCGATGTCTGTGCGTTACCGAAAATCGAGTTTAGTTTATTTTTTGACTAAACTAAAGCGATTTATTTTTAAACTCTCATTGATCTTCCGCTTACTTTTAACGGATTATCTAATGCACTTATTGGTTTTTC